ATAGAATATCTAGGAGAAGTATAAAATAAATAATATTTCATACATTACAAATTTATTTGATATATATTAAAACTTCTTATATTTTGTATTCCACAGAACGAACGCAGCCGGGGATTGCAATGGGAATTATTAATAAATATTAAACAAAATCACATACATTGCTCAGATTCCTAGATAAGTAGCTAAAGCGCCCATATTATGGAGTATCTGAGATAACGAAGGTACCGCAACACCAAGACCCGAGACAATATAGAAAAGTTCATTTTCTACATTGACCCGACAGAGGTATGGTAATCAAAATACCAGTAATACAACTCAACAGGTGATGTGTTCTTATTAATTTTAATTTAATAATTTTCTCAACACTATCAAGAATAGCGAAATTTACTATCAACAATTGGATAGGATAATGCAAATGACCTCTATCAATGTCATTGCTTATTTATGATAATCGATATATCGTGATGTCCAGCGGTCATGGCCGACGGTATTTTCTATAGACAGTTTTAACTTACTAAGTATGTCAGCCATTCCTTTTTTTTTTTGTTAACTAAACTCCTTCAAAGAAATGATAGCAAAGAGAATTTAAACAATATTTAATGTTAAAATATTGTACTATAGAGCGTGGCTGAGGTCATTGCACTTTTTAATGACTGTCAGTGTTTACCTTATAAAAAGTATAGTAATAATACTAGCAGTTTTCCTGCGACTTAGCCCGCGTAAATTAGCATGTGTCGCCAGCGTATGAATGATCTAGCAATATCTAAAATCATTCGATACATTCCGAGCCTATTAGAGCAAATAAACGAATCTTTCTTCTTTGAATATTTGTATAGATTTTCAGTTAGTCACTATGCTACGGGATAGGAGACCGTTTGGACATTCATAATTTTCTATTTATGATAAATAAAAGGATAAGGATCAAACAATATGTAATTAATTTATGAAAACTTTTATTGAAATAAAACAACAAAAAATATAATACTTGCATTTATTTAGGTACGATGGCCCTAATATTTGAATTCTTCATACAAATTTAAAACTACACAATTCCATATCGCACTAATTGTTATACACAAGTGTATATAATATGTACAAAATTATGGGCACATAGTTTCCAACGCACTCTCATTACACTATACTCTCTTTAAAATCTACTTAAGTCATGATAGTGAGATGTAACGAATTTATAGCTAGTAACACAATATTTACAAACATTTATTAAAAAAAAAAACTGTACAAATAAATTGCGACATATCGTATCCTATATCCATTGATTATCTATTTCTTAAGGGCAGGAAGCTCCTCCTTAATATTAAACATGGTATTAGTAAGTAGAGTACCTACCTAATACTTTCTTTATAAATCATTTGGTATAAAAAAATCTACGAGACAAACCTCAACCTTATTTCTTCTTACATTAGTTAATTTCAACTTCTTTTTAGAAAGGATGGACATTCCAAAAAAAATTTTGGTTACATTTAATTACTCTACATATTCTATAGCTTAAGATGCTTAAGTTTCGCTTGGAAACTTAAGCGATGGTTATCACATTAATGTAAGGAAACACGTTGCAAATTTAAATGGGTCGTATTGTTCACATAATATTTCACTTATAGACATTTACGCAGATTTTGATGATCATAATCTGTTAAAAATCTTACAGATCAAAATTAGTATTTTTTACATATATTTAATATTTTTTTACATAATATTGATCTGTATTTCTTCCACAACACGGTCCAAATGTTTTGCTATTATTTACACAGACGCAATGGAAAACTTGCAATAGTGAATCATTGGCGCAGTGCAGGCGCGCATTTATAATTGCAAGTTTTGACGTTAGTACAAGGGGTCGAATAACTCGAAACTGGAGCCAAAACGATAGCTATGAATTACATGTACCATTTTATTTTAAAACGAGACCTCAAATGAGAACTTGGTTCGAACCATTGATCGTCCAAAACAAATTGACAATGACAGAAGAGAAAACGTGAAATTCAGCTGTGCTGACTTATTTTCATCGGATAATGGTTTAAATCTGATACTTATTGTTAGTTCTCGAATTTTTTTTTTTCAATGAATATGATTTTTCTTATTTTTTTTCTATGGAAAATCTTTAAGAAATCTTATGTAATAAAATTTTACTCTTTGTTTGTGTAAGACTTTGTAATGATTTACTGTTATAACTATAGCTTTGGCTTAGAGTTTTCGATGCCTTGAACAGAACTCGTGCTTTTTCACGTTGAGCTGCCATGGCATATTTACAGTCAATAGAATAAATAGTTAGTGAAACAAACAATTGATATACCTGTAATGTTAACTTGATTTTGAGTGTGTGCTTGCATGTGTGTGTGTATATAGATTTAATATTTTTAATTTTAGTTACACGCAAAAATTATAATATTATACTAAACGCAACTACAGTTGCATTTGAATACGGGTAATGCTTTGATATTGTTTAGGTATCTAAAGCCCTTTTGATCCATTTATTAATTAATGCCCTTTATTAATAAACAGAAATATCAGTTTCAATTTTGATGAAAATCATTTAAAATAAAGATCATAAGTATAAAAGACGTAGTAAACTAGATGAACCTAGTATCCATTCCATAGATTGAACGTAAAAGATATATATTTTTTGTAACATAGTACCTCTTCGAGGATACGACAGTACTTGTTGTTATTTCAGACATTATGTCTCATTACGTCAAATTGCTACGAGAATGACGGTCGTAGATATAAATATTAAAAAAATATATCGCTTTAAGTAACCATTACTTGAATTTAATAGACTCTTGACTGTAATAAAAGACTCCATTTCAGTTCAACGTGTACAGAGCGTCTGTGTGCTTAAATTACTAGAAAAAAATATCATTCCAAACCATTCATATCGCACTGGCACAATTCAATCCAATATCGGCTTTCAGATAAATTCATCATTATGATAAATAAATTATTCAGTCATACTTAATCAGTTTTAAATACCAGATTTTATTATAAATTTAATATAAATTCTACACTTTAAAGCTTCATTGATCTAACTTATTTATATTGTATAGTCGAACGATTTCACTTCTAGGTCACCATAGAATGTAATTATATATAGTTTTAGTACAGGTTTGGAATATTATGTCTGCAATAGTATAGTATTATATCCATCTTATATTAAATTAATTGGTGATACGTAACTTAAACACTGGATCTATTTTGATATTTTGATATAAGAAGATAAATTGTTTTTTATGTATCAGTACTACAATTTTTATACATTGCTTTGTTAAAATCTACCGTTTCCATATTTTATAACACCGTTTAGAATACCGTTTTCAAATTTTAAAGTATGTTACAATTAAGGCGTCATAGTTTAGTAAGCTAGAAATCAAACCGGCCGACTATACTCTAGGAATGCATTACAGATTGAGAAGTAAAATGTCAGTTGTGCAATAAAAAAAAATATCCTAATTTTATTTAATAACAAGAAAGAAACATTAAAAAAAGCTACTTCACATACGAAAACCTGAATCCTTGTGAACAATTAAGATTTGACAAGATTAATACAATAATAGCCATCGATATCACTAAATAATCAAACTCAATGAGTTATTTACATTATAGAAACTAAAAAAAGAGAATTAATATAATAAATTATCACTGTCGTTATGCGGTACAAAAATTTGTTAAGATAACAGATCGATCAATTAGGAATTAATAGATGATATACATTTAAAAAACATATTTAAGCTAGCTGATCTAGTAATGATGGCACCACCGATAGAAAAGAGTGTTAAGTGATACGTTATGCGAAATAGTTTTAAAAAGTGACGTAAATTTACAGTATTCTAAATAAACAAGGTTTATCGTTGGAGTAACTTTACGCTGAGACTGCACTTAGTATTAATCAATACTCATATTATTAAACAGAGACTTAAGGTTAACCTAGACCGAAGTTCTACGGGATTTATATTTACAAGGTAGTAGATTTGCTTATTCTCTGGATAATATGAATATCGACTAATACTAAAACTGCTAATTTAGCGTAAAATTACCGTGACGCTAAATCTAGTTTGACGCAACGTTGCCTTATTTAAGTTGGTCGATAGGATCAACACGCGGAGTGCTAACTTCTTTATATCATTGGCCAATAAAACAGTGACCGACCAATGAAAGTGAGTTATAGAAATACCAGTATGCCGCATGCGAATCATCGACCAGTGTAAATACGCCATAATTTATATATCATAATTGGATACAGAAATTGTAATTACTATATACTAATGATTATTCAAGATATTTTGACGGGCTGACAAAAGAAAAGAATCTTTTCGAATTCAGAATAAAGATCTTTTTAATAATATGTATTTTATGTCGTGTAATATTTGTTTGTTATTTATATTTGTACTTATGATGCTTTGAGTAAAAGATGAAAAAACGGAATGAAATACGATTTTATTCTTATACAACACGTTCCAAGTATGATATTAAATAAAGACAAAAGAATTTAATAAAATAAGAAGTTTGAACATCCAAATTTGGAGGTGGTTTCATCCATTTATTACGTAAGATGATTTTTGGCAGTGATCGACATTATTGTTACGTTAGAATGTAAAGGAAACCTTAGTTTTCATTTTTATAGGTAAAATTAATTTAACTTAAAGTTTTTTTATGATTTCGCGTAACAATTAAGACTCGCCCTTTTAAGAAAAATAAGACATAGTCGACCCCTAAATAATTTTACGTAGTAAATGGCGTAATGATATGTCTCTAATTCTATATTTAGTTTATTATTTAATAAATTGCCCTCTAGATTTCTGATGTTGGCGTTACGTCACAATCTGTTTGCCTAGTTAATCACGGTGAAGCTTAGTTTGTATTAAAAAAAAAAACTTAAATATCATCACTAAGTTGTTCTTTGATTTGAAAATTTATTTAATTTATGGCAATTTAAATATGTGTATGATTAAGATATTGAATTCGGTGTAGTATACCTATATATTTGTTCAGTGGTAGTGTGATAGTTTGCCCGGACCTCTTGGCGGGCCCGTGTCGTAATCGTAATAGTTAGAGTGGGGTCGGGTTTCTCTACATGAGCGCTGTGAGTGGTAGCCAGCCGACGCGCCGCCTACCCGACGACTGTAACAAACAAATATCATCATCATCAACCCTTATATGTCCCCATTGCAGGGGCTCAGACCTTCTTTATGGCCCAATGCGGATTGGAGGGTATTAAAGACTGCAAATGCAGCCGGGACCAACGGCTTAACGTGCCTTCCGAAGCACGGAGTAGCTTGAGATAATTTTTTTTGGTCACCCAGCGCTTATTCTGTTTGTCCTCCAACAAAAATTCACATTCGTGAAGATTATTTGTGCATCGGAGGCAGTGAGTGATTCACAGATAATCGAAAAATACGTATATTTGGAGTCGTAGTAGCATTTCAAAAATAGACGAATATACGTTTTCTTTTAAAATAAGCCTTTATGAATTCAGTCTATTCATGCAAGTAGTAGGTACATCTACATGCATGAAAAAATATTTTTATTTTACGCCGTTAGTACATAAACGCAATGCGAAAACGAAACATCGAAATCCTGTCAATTGTATGGCAATGTTTAGCATGTGCTTTGTCTCGCTCTATTTTTACCATATAAAGTAACAAAGTGTCTACTGGTAGTATTTTAATGAGATATCCTCAAATGAACAAAGTAATTAACAAGGAAGATTTTAATATTCAACTCATTAAGTCTTTGTATACATTAGGCTGAAATATAACGATGACTTTCAGAAGTGTCGGAAAAACATGCTAACTGGGTGTTCACCGAGTGTAAATTGCACTACTGCAAAAAACCAACGGGTCGATAGGTCTACATTATCGCTAGTTGAAATGGGTGAGGTTTTATTGTTTTAATTCGAATACGGAGGGATCTGAGTCGATTTTTAGACTTCTGTAACTAAAGGATAAGGGACCATATAAGTCTGTCTGTCGTCAGGCTGTATCTCATGAACCGTGATACTTAAAATATATGTATATATTTTAGCAGGGCGTATAACAATCTTCCGTTTTTGCATTTTTTATAGATAATGGTCCGAAACCCATCGTGTGCGCGTCTTACTCGCGTTTTCCTGAACTTGCCCCTTTAAAGGAATTGACTTATTTGATACCATTATTATACTAAAAATATTAACTCCAGTTCCATTGAAAAGTTATTATTTTTATGTCCATACACACTTATTCTCGTGTTCAAATATTTTATAGCATAGATAAACAACAACAAGAATAAAGTAGAACACAAACATAGGTAATAATAATTTTGACGATACTATACGACTTTTCAGCAATAGTAAAAAAAATACAATATATATTTATATTTAGTCCGTCAGTCAGATAATAGTAAAATATTAGATACGTATTTTTTTTTACTTCAATTTAACAAGAAATAGCTTAGATAACAGGCATTAAAGTAGAGGAGTGGGGGCTCGCTACGTCACAGTTGAGTAGAAAACGTAACATAACGTGACGTCATGCTAAATTTGAACTCCATGTAACGCCGTAATTTTATGATTACGAAAAAAATAAAAAAATACGTGTTTAATATTTTTTAACACTCTACCTGACTCTACCAAACAAAAATTTGTCATCATCCCTATTGAATAAACCTCAATCTGTTGACATTAAAGTCAAAAACCATTATGGGAATTTGACATTTATGAGCCATTGTATCCCCTGTAGATCCGAACGTGAAAGTGTGGTCCTACTGGAAAATAGAGGTAACTGATAAGGGAGACAAGTATAATTGTCTCCCTCCGACAATTTAAAAGCAAGCGACGGATTTTTTTAGTTTTAAAATTCATGAATGTACATTTTCTATCATAAGTACCTACTTTTTTGCTCACTTATTTTCACTACATTAGTTACATGAGTATTTCCGCAGTTCGAGACTGTAAAATTTTCTACAAAATACACTAAATTGACATAAAACACTATTTATTGTTGTAAAAAAATGCAACACTAATAAATTATTTTTCACGTCACGACATGGTGTTGCTAAGACGGCTTGCAAGTCATTTATATATGTACTTATACTCAATAATTGTGTACATTTTTTGTTGTTAATAACTATGTAATTTATGATATCATCCAAGCGATCAAATAATTTTTTTTTTGTCAAATTATTAGATAATAAAATTGTTTTATAACTGAAAACAAATACGCCAATCATTGTAAAAAAAGTACCTACCTATCTCGTTGGATAGATAAGGCACTATTTAAAATGATTGCTACTGTATGTAAAACTACCGGAATGAAACCAAATTTTATACCCTGAAATTTGAATAAAGAAATAGTAAATGTTGACTAATTTATAATAATTACTGTTTACTTGACAAACAATAGTCGGAAATAATATATTATTTTTAGATCAGAAATAACATACTGTAAATCAATAATGTGCCTTTTGATAAATATTAATAGAGTCATGATCTTTATAATATTCGTATTCATAATACCTGAATTAATATTAAATAAACAAATACCTAGTGAAATGAAATCATAGAATTACAATGTCAGTAAGTTACAAACTCAAACACTAAACGATAAATCAAACCGGGTACCGCAAAACATTAACATTTTGATAGGTCTGTCAAAAGCATGCCTTCAGTATTTGAGCGTGAAATTGTTTTTTTATAAATAACAGACTAAAGCACACTACACAAGTGTAGACTAACTAATAAAATAAACTTGAAAATAATAAACACGCGTGGTATATAAACAGCACTACATATACTTTAGTAGATGGTAGAAACATGCTCACAAGTTACATCTATGAATATACTGGATTTTTTTTAACGATCATTATTTTGACAGTCAACTGTCTCCTCACAACTATAACGTAACCAACTAGTCTACATTTCAAAGATAATGGTAACCGTATTTAGCATGTTATCAGGTGCACAGTTGAATTTTGCCGATGCTATTTATAAAAATGGTGGTACTACTATTATATAGGATAGAAAATTTGCCAACTACACTAGCTTACATCAGAAGTGGGACATTACAAAGCAAACGCATCTTACCAACGGTCCAAGGAGGCCGGACAAATAACCAACGGTTAAAGTTAATAACGAATGATTGCGATGCGACACTGCCCACTAATTATACAGTATAGTGTTTCCACAGCGACGTTGCTTAATGACAACACGTTTTTCATCGTGAAGAAAAAACGACAAGTACTTAATAGAAAAATACGATATAATTTATGGTGTCATGTTGCCGTTTTAACGATGGAAAACGAGATCTATTATTCTTTTTTCTAAGAATATTAAACGTAATCTCAGGTAATTAACAATTTATGAAGTATATTTTTTTTCAAAACAATGACCTTCTGTTAAATGGTATCTAACAATAAAAAATCTTCGAAGTTGACTGACTTACAAGACGAATTCCCATTCGAAGAAAACATTCCAATGACATAATATGTTAGTATTATGTCCTTTATACCTTTAAAAATCAAATATGTGGTTAAATCAAGCAACCGTCTTATAAATAAATAAAACAACAAACTGATCGATTATCTTTTTTTTATATAATTATTTCGTAATGTCTAATTCACACGACTTCTAAGTCACTTTTTTGTTTAACTTGTACATTCAAATTTGATATTAGGTCAGATTTGGAAATTATGTAGTTATTCCCCAAAGAATGATTTAGGTCATATTAAATTTAACTATCAACAAACAAGGAAAAAGGTTGGCAGCGACTAAGAAAAGTGGACAAATTAATTTCCCTAGAACGGAGAAATTCAGTACTTTTTGTAATCTTTCAATGATGGAGACATAAAAGTTAGTCAGTTAACTTTATTTTCTAGGCTCTTTTATTTGACAATATTTTGCTCTACGCTTTTAGTAAGACTTTCTCTCATTATAGGTTGATTGCACGTAACAAGTACAGTAGCGAGACAGCAAATGACTGTCGCTACATTTGGTAAGTTTAATAAGTATAAGTGTGACTAGTCAGATCTATTGTAGTCAGTCTACTACTAAAATCAACCAGATTTGAATGGATTAGATTTGTGGTATTCATTAGAGAAAGAAAACAAAAAATTTTGACCAGAAAACGGATATTATGACTTGCTGCCTTGCTCCAGGATACAAAATACAAAAAACTGAAATAAAATCTAGAAGAACAAAAAAATCAACACACGATAATATACGTGTCGGAGCGGAATGGTCAGAAGATGTGGTGGCTTGCACATCCTCGCATATTCGGGGGAAAGACTCGAATGTCCTTTAGTCTTGGGGAGCTGAAATGGCTGACTCTTGACTGATTTCGTGCATCACCTTCATAGAGAGGTGCATCGCTTTACCCTTTGATAATTTGACAATATGTTTTTTTAAACATTAGAATTATTGTTAAAAACAAGATTGCTATACCATGTATCGTTAATTTCATGAGTTACCGATATTTCTGTGCTGTTGTAAGTGCCATGATCGCGGAGTAACTGAAGTTTTTGTGGATGGATGTTATTGGCAGATATATCGATCTACGTTCTTTCGAGTCCTTTACACGTTCGATATACGAAATACTTTGTCACCACTAGCTCGCATTTGTTCTTCGCACACATCACTCACTATATCTGATCGCAAAACGACAAGTGTTTGATTTATCTTCTTTCTAAATTCTTACCCTTTGGTAAGTCTGCAGAGGAGAGTTATACATATCCTCCAAGTAAAGTTCTGAGAACTTTCTTGGCTCACTACTCCACTTGCACTACTTGGGTACTTGCTACGTGTAATCAACCCGTTCTCAATGGTTCTTAACCGTTACTCCGAGGACCACTAGTGGTCCCTGGAAATATCTCAAGTAGTCCGCGGAGCTTCATAAAAAATCTCCTTTATAAATATATAGGTATATACAGATATAAAGCGTTTTATTAAATGCTTATTGAAGTATTATTATACTCCATTTATCTATAAATATTAAATGGGTAAAACTTGGTATCTTTCTCCCCGGTCCGAAGCTGCCATGGCAAGACAAAAAATGCTTTTTGATGACCAAAAGGGTAAAAACCACTGCAGTATGGAATAAAATAATAATGTTTGTGTTCATATTCACCTCTCTTCCTCAGCTTTTGCTCTCTGCGCATGCACCTGCCTCCTCATTTGACCGATCTGTACCTCGCTCAGCTTCTGTCGCCTTACGCTAAAATATAATTAATCTTTAATTTGATCCCTTCCTATGGATTAATCATATAGGACGACAGACGCTGCAGGAAATACTTGACGAGCAGATTCAGTTAATACCAATGGCAATAAATTAATCTTAAGGACATGCAGAGCGCCCGCCTCTCGCTATAACTAGCCATAGCCATAAGAACATTTTATCAACGAATATATTAGGTCCTTACATATGAAATTGGCGTTTTGTCGTAATGGCCACTTTAATCACAAATTTCTCCTCCTTGGTTGGGAATTCCAAATTCATATTTATGCAGCCATTTACACATGTATTTGTGTTTCGTTAGGCGGCATTCATTTTTTTTTTGTTCTTCTGTTTGTCTTATTTACGTCACCCAGTATAAAAAATGAAAAACTTGAAATATCATGTTATTTACGAGCACGAGTTCCACCGTGGTACCAGTGCTGCGGAAACGGCTCGAAGGGCTAATGATGTGTATAGCGGTTGTTTCGCTAAAGAAAACACAGTGCGATTTTGGTTCCAACGTTTTCGTTCGGGAAATTTCAACCTGTAGAACAAGCCCCGTAGACAACCGGAGACTCAAGTTAATAATGAAGAATCGAAGGCTATTGTGGAAGCGGATCCATTGCAAACCACGTCCGAGTTAGCTGGAGACTGCAGTGTTAGTTATAAAACTGTTATAATTCACTTGAAGCAAATTAGAAAGATTAAAAATCTTGAAAGGTGGGTACCTCAGGAATTGAGTGAAGCAAATCGGTAAACGCGCTTCGACAGCTGCGTTACATTACTTAACCGGCACAATATTTAAGGGTTTTTATATCGAATCATTACCTGTTATGAAAAGTGGATTCTCTACGATAATCGTAAGCACTCATCGCAATGGCTGGACCCTGGCATGCTAGCCAAATCCTGCCCCGAGCCAAAATGACCCCCAAAAAAGTTCGTTTGGTAGACTAGTGCCGGTGTCGTTCATTACAGTTTTCTCAAATGTGGCCAGACGATTACGGCAAACGTCTATTGTCAGCAATTGCTTACCATGTTGGAAAAACTAGCTATTATACAACCGTGGCTGGTCAATTGCTCTACGCCACTGCTACTTCACGACAACGCTAGACCACACACTGCACAACAGACAGTTACCAAATACGAAGAGCTTCGATTGGAATGTCTATGACATCCACCGTACTCCCCGGACCTTGATCCAACAGATTACCATTTTTTTCGAAATTTGGATAACTTCTTGCAAGGAAAAAGATTCAACTTCAATGGGGCAGTGCAAATCGCCTTCAAAGATTTTATTGATTCCCGTCCGAATGGTTTTTAATGGTTTTTTTAGTAAGGGGATCAATGTCAACCTATGAGATGACAAAAGTGCATAGATAACAATGGTTTATACTTTGATTAAATAAATATATTATATTAAAAAATATTCGACTCTTTGTTCCTCCCATACCAAACAACAATTTTATATGTAAGGACCTAATATTAATATTCTTAGATAATGTTCTTGTTTTATTATTTACATATTTAATCAATGGTTTTGCTTGTTTACTGAATTATGAAAGAAAAAGTTAAAGAATAATAGTTAGAATATTAACAGATTCATTGATGAAATCAATAAAATTTGTATGGCTAAACATATAGCGAGAGCTGGGAGGTCGTTCTGTTGTTATTGAAAATACAAACTGAATATCGACCAGTGCCTTTAGAACAAAAAAAAAACAAATGCAATTTTTTTGTATGTCTATGACATTAGATATAAGTGGGATAATGCTATTCAAATATTATTAATTCAAATAAGCTCATTTAATAGAATCAGGACTTATTTTGCAAAAGTCCAATGCTATAATTAAAAATCGCAATATTTGCTTGTTTTGCGGATACTGACTGGGCGTGGAAGTTTCTAGAAATCATAGTTTTCCTATTAAATATCTTATTGGAGGGTCTTTACAATTATTTTTACCTTCCTACTTTAGGACGACTTTTAGAAACTTTAAATAAAACAATATCAAATCAGCATCTAATAAATACAGTAATAGACAAACTTACTTGAGATTTTGTTGTATTTCGTCATAATTGACATAATGGCCTGTTGGTCCCCATGCACTATCCATTGCCTGTTGGAGAAAAACATTGTTAAGAAATCTATTTAAATAAAAATTATATAGAATTTGAGCAATATTTACAATCGAAATGGTTAATTTCTATTAAAACAAAATATATTAATTTTCTTTATCTTATTCCATCTATAGAAGACAATTTTTTTAAAACATTTGTCTTGCTTATTCCGCTCGTTTTAAATTCAAAGTAAATATTTCACTCATTTTGTTGCAACTGCAACAAGGAGTATCAAAAATTTTAGCTCATCTTTGAGAGCAGTTGTGCGATTCTGTAAAATCCAGACCCGAATTCGAATTCACTCGTGTGTCAACTGAATGTCAATTGTCAATTCGCGTCTTTTAGTGTAGAAATTCTATTGATTCCATATTTTGTATAATAATACTAAACAAAAGTTTCGAAACTTATGTCATGGAACGTTATTACCAATTCAAGGTTGTGCGGATGCCGCTTTTTGAAGTGAATTCGGGCACTTAAGTGAATTTTAATTAGGGTTTGGATTTTTACAGAATCGAAGGGCTGCACTTTAAGAAATTGATATATGAAAGAATAGAAAGAAAGGGGACTAGGGACGGCTGTAAAAAGCTGATGGCCAACCTTCACTAATTAGAGATGCACTTTAAGGAGAAGAAGAATATAAATCCTAAAAGTTACAAGACAAAAAGGTAAAGGTATCATAAGTGTACTTTTCATTATTGTTAAAAAAAACTTTTAATTACCGCCATATATGAAGAGCAAAAAGTAATCTAAAAGCATGTACGCCGCACATGCAAGCATGTTCAAAGTCCACGATGACAGGTTTGCTTGTGTTACAATTTTTTTGACACTTTTTAGGGTCTCGTACTCATAGAGTAAAACGAGAGCCTTATTACTAAAACTTCGCTGTCTGTTTGTCTGTCACCAGGCTATATCTCATGAACCGCAAGAAAAATATACTATCTGTGATGATTTCAACTGTCTCGTTGAAATTTTCACAGATAATGTATTACTGATGTTTCTTAAAGAAAAAAATACTAGAAACCAGAGTCAAATAAATATTTAAGAGGGCTCCCATACAAAAGAAACGTGATTATTTTTGCTCGTGCCCTTCGTGCGCGAGTCCGATTCGCACGTGGGCGATTTTTTATAATTATTGATGTTGATATGTCTCCGCTATTTTTGATCATCAGTGTTTTTAAATATCTCAATTTTATCTTTGAAATAATACAGTCTACAAGCTAAGCTTTAGTAACATACCTGTTGCGCGGGCGCAGTACGAGCGGGAGGAGCTCTATATGGCGGCGCTGCTGATCTTCGTTCTGAACGTCGCTCGCCGCTACTCTGACGTGAATGCTGCGCTTCTAGCCTAATCACGAAAAAATAAAATAAGGATGATGAATTGATGACTGAATTAAAAAAAAAAACTATTTAGTCCGTCAATTATATAATAAAAAAATATTAGATACGTATTTTTTTTCAACTTAACAAGAAATTGTTTAAATGATAGGCATTAAGGTTTAGCGGTCTGTCTCGCTACGTCACAGTTTGTAGAAAATGTACAAAAGCGCGACGTCATGCTACATTTCAAATCAATATATCGCAGCAATTTATTGATTAAAATATAAAAAATACGTGTATATATCATTAATGTAGGGTGTCTAAAAAGAAAACTCATAGTTTGCTGAAATAGCTTTTTTGTACTCTAGTATATGTTATTGTTTGGTCTGAAAAAAAAATATTTTCGTAATCCACTTATTTCCGATACTTTCTTTTACTTATTATATAACCTAAAAATTAAAAAAACATCATGTATCACAAAAACTATTATCTGCCATATCGTGAAATACGACCATTTCATGAAATGACCGGCCCGCATTATGAATTGATCAATTTTATGATCTGGCCACGACATCTATACTAAATTAAAGACATGCTTATTTAAAAATTGAAGGGCGTGATTCAGTAATATTCTTTTATAAAAGCAGCCTCGAACAAGTCGAGCTCAACTCTGTCACGTCATATAGGTATCTTCAATGAAATAAAATCTTTACATATTATTTGTTGAAGTACGTTTCATTCTATTGAAGCTCACTAATAATAATATCTATAATCCTAATTCTAAATACTATTAAAGGATCATTTTGTCTTCAGAATAGGACCACTGAAATAGGGTTTATTGTAATATTACATACGACAATTGATTTTAAAATTTTAATAGAATTAATACGGTTGTCGAGAGTCAACGAAAATAAATACATTTTTTTTCTGGTAGTATTTAATATACTTCACAGTTTTATGCTATTACTTTTACTTTTTACTATTATATTTATAATATTGCTTAAATTATGAAAACAAAAAATGTGTACTCGTTGTTACGTGACCGCAAACAGCGCATGACGTCGCCCCTTTTACTCACATCAGAACTTATTATAACTTAAATCATAGAATAATATAAGTTTTAGAGGAGCGTGACGTCATAACAGATTTTAGCGTTTTTACAGAAAAATTTGATAATGAAATTTATTTTTAAATAGAATAGAATTTAATAGAATTTAGCTTAATTTATAAATGATACTTTTTTGAATATTTTTTTATGCGTATTTCAATGTTTATCTTTAGAATATAAAAAAACTTGTCTACACCCCTAACAATATATTAAAAGTTACCTCTGATTAGCCGGTGTATTTTCGTCTATTCTTTCTTCCCGGTTATGCCTCTCAAGAGCTTCCCGTGACAATGATTTCTCCGAAGACCGTCCGGGTTGTGACCGACCGTATACTTCTGATTCTGGTTTCTTATGAGGCTTCCCGATTCTATTCAATAGAAATGAAATAAATAATATAAGCAGGTTTTCCAAAATGTAAATTGATTTAAAAAATCTCCATGAGAAAAATCGTCATTGTCTAGGGTTTTAAAAACGTTAATATTGCATGAATAGACCAAGAAAATCAATATTATATGTGAGCTATTAGGGGTTCGTATAGTAAGATTGATTTTCTTGATATAAAAGGCAGGAAAATGCTTAAAAAAATCTCGTGATTTAAAAGTAGTTTTGGATGAATCTGAAGATTATCCCAGCCATATTATTTTGATGTCCAGTTTATTTTGAACTGAAATTTATTTATTTTTAAATTTTAACGAGAATAATGTTACCTAAACATGGTAGAGAGAGACTTCAGTAAAGATGGTTTCTTATGTGATAAAGAGGATTGTTGTGGAGAGCCTCGTATTATACCATCAGGTCCATTGTCGTCCGTCAACCAATGTTTTAGCGCTAAAAAAGAAAAAATCAACGTTAATATGTAAAAATCAGTAATAACTAAAATGTTTTGTCTTCATCACCAGCCTATTAATATCCCCTTTGCTGGCGCTCAGACCTTCCCTATGGATATATTAATTCAGCCTTACGATTCTGTAAAAATCCAAACCCGAATTCGTATTCACTTAGGTGTCCAAATTCACTACAAAAAGCGACGTCCGTTCAATCTTGAATTGGTAATAACGTTTCGTGGTATAAGTGAAGTGAGTTTCGAAATGACATTGGAATTGATAACTGAGACACGTATAATTAATCAATTTTGTTTTAACTTCCTTCGTTTGCCTTCCAAAGAGCTAGAGATAATAATATTTTGGTCACCCATCCTATGACCAGCCATTGCGAAAATTGCTTATCAACCGTATCGCAGACCGAGTACGCTAACCACTGCGCCATCGAGCGTCTCATATATAATTATGTACAAATTAAAGGACATTAACTACTTCACTATATGCTATGACTAGTGGACGCCCGCGACTTCGTCCGCGTGGAAGTCGGTATCCCGTGGGAGTGAGAAGTTTTCCCAGTAAAAAGTACCCTATGTGTTATTCTGATGTATAACCTATATTGCTGTAAAGTTTTATCCAAATCCGTCCAGTAGTTTTTTCGTGAAAGAGTAACAAACATCCATACATCCATACTTACAAACTTTCGCCTTTATAATATTAATAGGATTGTATTATGCAGGAAAATCAACGTACAGTCTCAATTGACTACTACGCCAGATCAATATAGTAATACTGTCTATTTACGACGTTCTAATATTAGAAATACTGCAAGTTCTTATATCTCATAAAAGAATTGATGATACTCACGTGGGTGCGCGCGCGCATAAATAGGTTCATTACGCGGATGCCTTTGGTTTTCTTGTATCGCTGTTTGAAGGGATTCTAGACTTGAGGACTTTCGCATTCCTAACGAAGGTCCCACTTGGAGTGCTGGAAAATATAACGACTGGTTACAATCTTATCATATATTCTGTAGTAGATACTTATATAACAAATAATCATAAACAATATGGCGAAAAAGTATAATTAAGAATAATCCATTTCTAGGTAAAGTGATAACTCAGAAGTTAAAGATATGACTGATGATTTTTTTTTTCGATATTTAAATTTCATCTCAATTATTTATACCACTGTGCTATGACGTTAGTATTCAATAGACTTTAAAACGGACACTTGCGTTACTACACAGGTTGCACCTTGTTGTTATTGAAACAAGACTTATTGTATTCTTAATACAAAATGTTTAAAAAATCTGGCACCCTGAGATGGGATTCGAACCCACGACCTTTCACAATCCGAACGACTACTCAAACTACTAAGCTACCCAGGACCTAACAGGACCATCTAATTTTTCTAGCACTTGTTACTTTTTCGCTTCTACAAAGGGACAAAGTGGAATTTGTAGCAGTTCTCATCAAGAATATTTTCCAATATAGCATTGTGAAAGCAAAACTGATCAAGTATAAGGATATATTTTATTTTGAAATTATTGTGGTAAGATGTTGCAATATGCTTACAGTTGATGGCTTTGATCTCCTTGATCTTCTTGTAAGTGCCGGTTTGCTTGGCGTCCATAGCGGCGTGACGTTTCTCGGACATGGAGCGGCGGCCAACGGCGTCTCGACTGAACCCGGTACCACATTCACTGCCTGACTCACCACCTCCGCCGCCACTTACACTACCCCTACAGATAGAGATAGAGGGTTAGAATCAAAGGTGGATCCAACAGGTAGGCCGACCACGCTTAAGCCTATCCTTTTCAGGACGGGTGCGGAGTCGAAGAGCCCTGGTTTAAGGCTTAAGGTGCATTTCCCCAGCGTTATCAAAAAAAGGTGTAGATAGACTACTAATTGAAATTGTCAAACATAATGTTTTTATATATGTTTTGGCTCAATATAGTTTATTTAATTTATTTTCTATAATATATAATTTGTATATATTATTACCAAAATTAACTTCTAGACTTGACCACCACTATGTAAGCATATGAAGATATCATTTTTAAAAATATATAAGTGAAAAGTCACTAACTCATCAATAAATCTCAGAAACAACAAGAGATTCAGTAAGAGCAGTGTCAAATTTTGCATGTCTTTTTACAATACAGGTAGTTGCTAACTCAGATGGAATTTTCCGACATTCGAACCCTTAATGTGTTTTTAGAGTTGCTAAATAATTTCTTAGGAACCACCTGGATATTAGCCGCTGACGGAAAAATAGTAACGGATGCAAAGAACAAAACTATGGTCGAATGTGCACTCGAGTTTTCTCCCTTCATTCCTATCTTCATTTCAGTTAAAATTGTTATAAAGGTAATACAAAAATATTATATAACAATATATCAAGTATAGTGACGTAGTGCAGATTGCTGGAAGCTAATGAACATTGATTGCAGGTGGGACCAGTAGATAAAATAGAGGCAGAGATAAAAAAATTTTGGTCACCTATCCTATGACCGATTCTTATGAAAATTGCTTTCCTGTGTGTGCAGCTAATAAATAAATTATTTAAGGATATCACATATATTACTCCCATTTAAATAAAGTAGCTGAAGGCATTTTGCTGTAGAAATCTGAAACCACGAAAGTACCACACAGAAGCATATAAACTGAAGAAAATTTAGAAAAGTTTATTTCTATATTAATCTGACCGGAATCTATTTTTAAAATGCCGAGACATAATATTTGAATAACAAAATAGTTTTTCTTTTTCAACAACCCCACAATTCTCAAACTTACAAAGCTCTTAAACTTAGATGACCAAAAGGAAAGCCTTGTTTAATCTCACAGCCACAAAATAATTACCTTGTAGTGGTGCCATAATCTTCTTCTATGATAACGTTGTGATGCGCAGGCGGCGATCTAGACATGTGAACGTGTAAGTTCTGTCTATAATGATGTCCATTAGTAACAGGCGCGTCTTGTCCCGTAGCCATATAATAACTTTCATTCCTTAGACCCGTAAGCCTATCTATCACAGGGTTCCAGCCGTCTAACCGGCTCCATTCGAAACTATCACGTTTATTATCATGTGGCGTTTCTTTGTCTCTCTCTAAGTATCCTTTACTATCATCCGATTGGTTGGAGACCCAGCTATTATTGTTGTTTATAGTTACGATTGAAGCGTGTTTCTTGCTGCCTCGTCCGTCGTGGTTATCGAAGCCTTCTTTAAAATCTATGGAGTTCTCTTTGTCTGGATTGGCATTATATATGACTGTGTTGAAATTATCGTTAGAGTTGCTAGTATCGTTTCCGTTGGGCGGCGTATCGTCTTTCCACCGGGCCAGGCTGTCCATGCTTTCTGTTAACAATACATTTTATTATTAGGTATCATATATATATTCCAACTTCCATCACAATATATTGCTACATTCGCGATAATGTTGGCTAACGTGTAAGCGAACATAACGCCATTGAATACACAACTCAACATGACAGTATTATTTATAGTTTAAGGGTTATTCACAATTTCTTTATTGGATAAAATATGATACATACAATAAAATTATAAAATACATACTAGATACATAGATACTCTATACTCTATGGCACACATAATTTACAGATAATTTTATGCTTAAAGTAGGCAAAGGTGGTCTTATAGCTAAAAGCGATCTCTTTCAGACAACCTCAACTATGTAAAGAGAGCGGAGGTAGTGTGCTGAGAGTAACTATATAAATATGAAAATATACATATGTGTATACATATTCATAATGAATGATACATACATTCAACGACAATAATAAATAAATAATATATACAAACTTTTAACTCTTCTTCTACCTTTATACCATCTAAACAATTTGAATTTAAATATAAAATGTTTTTTAAAGAAAACAATATTATTATATTTGATCAATTTTCTTAAAGAAAATATTCTTAAAGAAAAATGCTTAAAAGTCCACTTTGTCCCATTTTAGAGTACCAGGGACAACTGGATTAGATTTTTAAAGATTATTTAGTAAGAATATGACTAATACAATATTAAATAACATTATAAAAAACATCTTACCGCTTCTCCGTGCTATAGTAAGTGAGATGCTGCCGTGTACGTGTGGTCTTGCATGTAATAATGCTCGGCGTAGAGTTTCCATGGCTTCCGCGTTAGACTGACCCACTAACGACACGCCATTCACGCTTAATAACTGATCGTTTGTATGCAACCTAAAGACAAATACCAAAATCAAAAACTTGCTAGGTAACACATCTAATGCCTATCTATGAAAGGGCAATTATTATATATCTATGACATAGTATAAAACATAATCGTTTTCCGGTGTCTGTATGCTGAAATATTTTGACTACACAACTGAATTTAATGCGGTATTCGACACTATTCATGAAATTAAGTATTTACAAAAATATATATATATATCGAGCAAAGCTCGGTCACCAGGTAATAATTTCAATTATAAGATATCAAAGTGTACTTGGAGTACATTTTAGTAATTCTGTTAGAGCGTAATTGTGTTTTTTTTTTATTAAAGAATCTAAACTTAAACATTTCAATTTTTATGATGTTTATGGTAGTCTTAACAGCAAATATTTGATGTAAAATATATATTTTACCTTCCGTCCCTAGAGGCGGCGCCACCGTGCAGTACTGACTTGATGAAGATACCCAGGTCCTGAGGATCAGGGCCCACTGTCACCTTGCCCTTCACGCTGATGCCCAGACCTGCCTTCTCCGAGTCATGTACTGGCACGTCCAGCCGAAGTATAAGCCTGTTCCGGAGACCGAACACCTGGATTTTGAATAAAAAATAATGAAGAAGCTACTAGTACTAAAATTGTTGTCACTAGGATTCGAAACATTTTAGTTGTGAAATTATGACCTCCACATGGATAAAGGACTGCCTAAGGAATATGAATATTGAAAGTGAATATAGTGAATATAGTGATTATGTTACTATATGTAAAGTCAACAGCACGTCAGGTTATACAAAATTGACTAATTGCTTCACTATATTTTTATACCTTATTAAATTGATAATAGAATACAAAATCTGGAAATCAAAATGTGGAAATTTTACATATTCTGGTAGTCTGACGTGCAGTCGAGTGTACTTTCATCATCAGCCATTTTTCGTCCCCACTGTAGGCGTACAGGCCTTTCTTATGGATGGTTAAAGACGAAGGGATTACTTTTTATAATGCGGGTTGGAGGGTATTAACGACTGCAAATGCAGCCGGGCCCAACAGCTTGACGTGACTTCCGAAGCACGGAGTAGCTCGAGATAATAATTTCTTGGTCACCCATCCCGTGATCGACCAACAACGATCACGGGCTGAGGTACTTCTCACTACGCCACCGAGCCACTGTACTTTAGACTTGAACATACTAGTTTGTTTTATTGAACACAATACATTGTCGGCGAAAGAAATACTCTATAAGAAAAAGTCTGGACTTTAAGGACAATACTCACAGAGTTATTAGAAGAGTTCAACGTTTCCTGCACGCCGTTGTCTATTCCCTGCTCCTTTATTAGGTTGTCTTTGGAGGAACTCTTCGGTATCCTTCCTCTCAACGAACTGTTGGCACTGTTTTGGTTCAAGGCATTCACGATAGTTGATACACGACCGTTCTCGGCTTTTGTTTCTGTCGACGTCGGAGGGCCGATTGCTTTTTCCACATATTTGACTGGACTCTGTTGGGGTTCTACCCTCTACAAATTAGAAGTAGAATTTAACTATGATTAATGTAAATAAAAATTACCTATATTGAATATCATCAACGGTAATTCTTGTATAAAATTTCATCTCTAGTATCAATTAAAACAACATTGGCCGCTTGATTGTTTACACTACGTCAGATTTAATTTCGATCACATTTATTTCGATACTAAGCTGATGATGGTTATAAATGTGATGATATCTTTTCTTTTTATTTATTTGTCCAAATCATCTGCAATATATATTAGTTCATTGCATATTCATATACCTGTGAGGTTTATCTGAGCGGCTGCATTAGGCACATAAAATTGTACTTAGAAGGACTAGTTTCTCGAGAAATATTTATTATATCGTACGCTGAGAACAATAGTGACACAATGCAAAAAATGCGATTTTGAGTAATGAGCGTTTAAAGTTCAAGAAATTGTAATCAGCCCCTCTAAACAACGTATCATCACTACGCCACCTAGCAGTTTCTATGCAAACTTCGTTCACAGGGATCTTTGCATTTTAAAGTTTATACTTAACAAAGAAAAATGTTCCCAAAAGTAAAAAATACGTCGTTTTTGGTTAGTGACATTGTCATTCTCAACCTGCGATTGTGTCTTATGGCTGGTTTACACGTTTACTAGTATCTACTTACCTAAGAAGTAGATTTTTAATTTTAAATGCTATGAGTACGTGTAAACACATTAAAATAAGTAACAAGTTCAAATTAGCTCATAAGTAGTTTATGAAATTTTAACTTGCAACTTATTAGATATTTGTTTCTTTACACGTATTTACAAGCAGATTCTGAATTAAGAATTATACAAAACCTCAACTAAATATTCTCAATATTTATTTCATGTTTCATAAGCCAAAATTCCTAATTTTAATAAACTACTATTAACTGACCATTAAAAATTATAATAAGTAATCAAAACCTGTTTAAGTGACGTTTAAGTACAGTTTGAGACGTTCTTAATTTTAAATTCTCAATTCAGAAACCGGATGTTAATCACTTAAAATTAAAAATCTACTTACTACTTATTCACATAATTACGAACACATCCATAATTTTATGAGATTATATACATGTAAATACACAAATAAGTATTATTACTTAAAGTAACAAGTAAAAATTTAGTTAACTACTTATAGCTTAATTAGAATTAAATATAAACTTATTACTAATATGTGTGTTTATACGTATTTTATCATTTAAAATTAAGTAAATTACGTGTCATCTTAGTTTCCTAGTTTAATCCTTGTTTAATAACGTGTATCTGAGCCATTATAGTCTAAAGTAGACAAGAGTCCAAAGAAAATGTAAGGTATTCGTTTAATTTTCATTTCACGTTAGAAATTAATTTTTAATAAATTAATTTGTTTTGTGCAGATAAGCCATTAATAAAAAAAGAAGAGTTTAATTAGAATTAAATATAATCTTATTACTTATATGTGTGCTTACACGTATTTTATCACTGAAAATTAAGTTAATTACGTGTCATCTTAGTTTCCTAGTTTAATAACGTGTATCCCAGCCATTATGACCTGAACAAAATGTACCTGTGCACGTGAAACTGGCCTCTCCACTAATAGATCGACAGCGGAATGTGTAGGCGTTGCCCGCAGCAAGCTGACCACCTGCTGCTGCGTCAGACCAGATACGGGTACAGAGTTGACTGATACCAGACGATCGCCCGCCCTTAGACGTCCGTCTGTTACCGCTGCACCCTGATACAACAACAATAATAATAATATACTTCATTGCGCACCCAGGACAAGTAGCAAAGTACCAGTAAAACAGTATACAAAAAGCCATATTGCTAGAAAAATATCTTTCAGGCAACCGATTGAGGAAAATAGATAATAATGAAAATAAATATGGGGAATGGGTGCAACATGTGAAAGAAAGAACAGATATATATTAAATAAGGAATATAAAGGAACTATAATTGATATATTAAATAAAATGGGTAAATTACGAAAATATTCAAGATCCGGAAAGAAAATAGGTTTTAACTTGATCGATACAATTATATGGCTTCATCAGATTTTACTCCCAAAGGTAGTTTTGGGCGTAATAAATTTTGGACACATAATAACATAAATATAATACATATATGAACGAATTTTCATGTAATATCGTTTTTTTAATGTAAATAACTAAGTTTAGTATTTTTAACGAGACGACATTAGTTCGGTCGACTTCATCCACAAACTACTTCATCTTTACTCATTCTGTCACGAACTAATGAACTACGGAACGGATAATGTGGGATCTAGTTCGCGTAGTTCCTCGAACCAGTTCGTTCGCAAACTACACAAGACTACTTAAAAGACTGAATATATTATTATTTTTACTAGATGATCTGACAGTTAACTGATAAATAATTAAATAATGTTAGGTTAAGAACAGGGAATATGCGTCTGATTCGAAATAGGGCTAAATAAATTTTATCAATATTCCTTTAGAATAAAGTATATGTAAATATTTTTCAACATTAGTTCATTTTAGTCTTAAAAATAATTATTAATCATCAGGGTCAAAGACAAAGATCCGTTACATTGAAAGGAGAGCATATCCAAATTACAAAATGGTTTATACACAGTTTATACACGATCCTTTGAATTAGAATAAATAAGACATTTCTTATGTTAATCTATTCCGCATTAATTGCTTATTACTTATTGGTAATATCTACACGTATACGCCTAGTACTCGGTACTAGTATCAAGAACGTAAGTTTCAAACAGCACTTGCAGGATGGAGCATTATTTTAACATTAATAACTAAATACATGCTTAAGTGTGTTACTTTTGACATTCGTGTCCCAAACGAGTATACGTAAAGGCTGTATACTATATCTCCCTTTGCATTTCACACTTGTCATGATTACGCTGTTCACACAAATTGTGGCAACATAGTGATTGAAAGTACACAATATTACTTACCTTAGGCAATATAGTCTTAATGTATATGGGGCAGTGTCCCCCGGTGGGATTATCTCTGGTAGTAATGGTGAATCCAAGTCCCTTTTCTCCTTTGACGAGTGTAACGGCGATTGTTTGCGTCACACCTGCCGAAGGTTTACTGCTGGGACTCACTGGGACTTCTAGTCCGGAAATAGCGCGTTCGCTGCGGCCCACTAGAAAAAAGATTTTTAATATCATTGAAAGAATATAACAAAACATTGTGAAAGAAATAGGAGTTCGTTAAAAATAATATTTCTGAATATATGACATATTAAATCGCCAGTGCCACTGCCAAAAGTCGAAAGTTTATACTTTTCGAACTTAATGCATATCGAGTTATACATATAACTGTTACAATTTAGGGGATTTCATTATTTTTGCCTTTCAAATGATGGAGATAGCTTTATAAGTGTTTTCTTTATGTATACTCTATGGATCTGATGATTATTGCATAAATTATTTTTTATTTTGAAATAAAAATGAATCACCATTTTTATTTCAAAATAAAAAAAAATGAAAATGAAATCCTTTAGTTGAATAAAAAATATACTGGTTTAATGAAACACTGTGCAAAGAGCAAAATTTCTCAAATCAATCTTAAACCACTATCTGATGATAGGCAACTTTAAAATTTAATGTAGAAATGGTACCTTCAGGTAAGAGATCAAGTGGACGTTCCTGCACAGGATGCGCGCTATCAACACTATTAACACCAGAAACCCATCGAAGCATATCTTCAACTCTGTAACAAAAATAAGTTCATAATTTATAGATTTCGAATTATTAGAACATGAACATATGTATCATTCTATATTACAACAATATATATTCGCATAATGTAGCGGTTTTCAAACTTTTTTTTGGTGATAAAACCTTTTGGAAACCAAATATTTACACGGAACAATAATAAAACAAAAAAAATGTTATGTTTTTATGTAGACTTGGTGTTTATTATTAATGAATTTGGACCTAATTCGGGAATTTGGACATATTTCACTTTAACTCCGATCATTTGTCGAAATGTTTTCGAAACCTCAACATATGCTTTATCCTAGAATTTATAGATCACTTTGATATCATCTAGGACGATTCAGAAAAAGACTCCTGAATAGAATCATGCTGAGTAAAATATAATATGTATATATAATATATATATATCAACTTCTTATAATGATTGTTTAAAAAATTCATAATTATGAAAAAACATTCAAAAAACGTATTAAAGATGATTAGGGCTATTAGTGGTTAGTTATTATCTACGTTTATTAATTTGTTTAATATCATTTCAAGTACCTGTGATTCTGGTGATCGTTAGGAGGCGTATCTTGACCCAAAGGCTCCCTCCGAGCATCCCGGGGAAGACTTTTACTACCGTAACTTTGAATTTTATCTGCTGCATCTAACCATACTCCACTCCTGTAAAAATACAGGAAAAAGTTTCATACAGACGTTTTTGATTTCCTGCATATGCCTTATAGTTTTTTATTCATATTCTCTAGTTTATATGACTGCTGCTATGGAAACTGTTTGCATATAAAATTATACACTACGTTAGATTGCAAAAAGATATCCTGACCGAGAATCCATACTAGTAATTTAGCAGCTGTTATAACTGTAACTGTATATATGTTCGTATATCACGTACGTTTATCTGTGCCTTCATCAATGAATTAATGATAAAAAATACATATGCAAAACTAGAAATCCACCAGTAGTTTTGTTTAATGTTTATTATACAGAATATTCTCGTATTAAGTGTCGAGATAGAATAAAAATGCAGCACTATGCACGCGTATAGGCAAAAATGGTAAATATGGCGTTATCCCTGTATTTTTGGAAAGAAATGTGTCTTTTGCTTGAAGAAAGTTAAATGTATCGAATTGGATGACACGGTAGTTATACTCAGCCTAAATATAGGCTCCCATTGAGGAGGCAACAGGATGATCAAAAATTTACTCTAATTAGCTTAATTGCGAAGGCACATTGTCTACTAATCCAACCTAAATCAGTCATGAACACTCGAAAATCCGTACTTGGCTCACATGAATGTAATGTAGTTCTCAATAGCTTTGCATTAATAGGCTGATGCTAATTATAATATTGTACATACCCAGGGCCCGAAAACTGCATTGATAGCCTATTAGAATGTCTCTGGAAGTGCTGGGCAGAAAGCCGGTCCGGGTCGGGAGGCCGGCCGTCCGGGAGAGGGGAAACTTTCTGTGTAACACGGCTACTGTCATCACGACAGACCACCGCCGCTGACCAGCGTTTGGTTTGTTCTGTCGCCTGTTAAATGAGATTAATCTAATAAGAAAATGCTAACATCTTTGTGATAATAAGGCTTGTGTCGTACAAGTGAAAATAAAGATTTCTGTAATATGTCCGGAATATATGAACTATTACACTTAACAATAATAAATTTATGACACTAATTTGTAAAATATTACGTGCTGAAATACATATGACATTAAATTAATTACATAAAATATTACAACTTTCATTTTAACAGCTCTAAACATAAACTCACAAATAGCAAAGGTATTACAAAAATTGTTCAGAGGTCCATACGTTTTTCGCTACTGTAGCAGCGTATGACGTCACTTAGTGCCTTGATTTTGTAGGGACCGTTTTTGGATGACTAGACTAAATACACCTAGAATAATAAGTAAATAATATCTGTCTTTATTATTGGAAAGCTAAGAAAGGTCATAACTTCTTCGAATTCTATAAGAATAATTTTAGGTTAGATAAACAAGAACAGGAATGAAAAAAATTGCACGCGATTGTCTTCTCATATTACATTATGGTGCAAAAAAGAATCATATATCCAATATAATATAATATATATAATATTATAGAATCATATAATATATAATATTATCTCCAATCAATTCGTGTGTCCTAGTCTTCGTTTATCAGTATGTATGTATATATATATATATATATATATATATATATATTTGTATGTCTATGTATTTTTTATATAAGTTTATAGTGTGTATGTATATATTTGTATTTTATATATAATTTGTTGGTATTATTAGTTATAAATTGTAACTTTGTTCTTCTATGATACCGCCTTTTGAATGCTCTGTACACCTTCACCGGTTTGACTGGTAGAGAATGCCTTTTTGGCATTAAGTCCGCCATTGCTATGTTATAGGCATAAAGATTAAATAAATAAATAAATAAAATATATATAGATTTAATGACTTTCACACTATTACTACAGGTGTACCTAGTCAACGAACAAAGATCACCTTCAATTGCTGTGTGGATTTTGACATTGTGCAATTAATGCCAAGTTAGTTCATTTATTACGTCAGTCTATAACAGTTTTCTTAACCTTTAGTGATGTGAAACAATTGTATCATCTTTTCATGGCACCATGAACCGGATTTTTTTACAGGACTATACTGTATGTAGGTAACTCTATATAAATATTTTGTGTTTCATCTACATAATAATAGTCATAAAATATTATATAGTTATTTAGTAATCACTTTATAAGGCTTCGTAATGTGATTACTATAGGCATCTGTGGTACGCGAACCACCTATTACGAAGCAATTATCTATAATGAGTAATGACTTTAGTTGTTTTACAGTCCAATTACCCATAAAACACAGACACTTACCGATCTCTGAGGTGGTAGTGTGTCCTGATGCAAAGTAGGTTCACTGCCCCTGCGTACTTGTAGCCCGTTGGCGCCGTCCTCCAGATCAGCTTCACCGACTTCCACGCAAGAGTCTGTGTTCGGTACGCGCATGCTGCCACCAACGCCGCCACCACCCTAGAATATTATTAAATTGTATGAAAATACAGTTAAAACTCCTATAAGAATATTGTAATATATCTATGTATCATTTTTCCTCATAAATAGATACTGGCGAATAACTGAAATATACTTATTCGAATTATATTTTTCTATACTAATAAAGAGGTAAAAGTTCTCACTTTGTTTGTCATCATGAAAAATCTCTCATTTACGAAACGAAGCGAAGTGGCTGCAAACAGCTAGTTAATTAATAACAATTCCAAATAATTTAAGCAATATTTTAATGAGATGTGTTGTCAAGAATGTTATTGTTTTTTTAAGTCCTGAAACTAAATAGCTGTAAATATTCAGCTTACAACTTTACTATAACATGAATATGTGAATCAACAATACACATTACGACTTTCAACTTTACCACCAAGTTATAAGGAAAAAAATTAAATACCGCTACTTTCGTCTAGTTACTAATATAAAATATGGCTGCTCGTATGGTCGAGTGCCTACGAGGTCTGTAATCCTGTTAGCCTAGTTCTCGTTATCTACCGATACCTAACGTTCATGACTTGATAGAAGCGAACGTAAGCAGGCGGGCCATGTGTTGTAACATGTAACAAAACACTGATAGGTATGCGCTTTATTCATAATTAATTATCGAACGCTTTTATAAATAAATTAGACATTCGACAGTAGGCGAGGAACAGTGTAGTACTTCGCGTTAGATTATTTATATATTCTTTGGTGGTACATAATTATGCTCATACTTCATGTATGAAATTCGCAACTTTATAAAAATCACGTTCCTGTTCCTTTGGTACCTTTCCTCCTTCTTTTGGTAACTTTATAAAAATCACGTTCCTGTACCTTTGGTATAAAACAATCACATCCTGATATCTGTACACTTAGATATTTTAAACTAAACAACGAAGTTTAAGGCAACTTTCATCAATATACAGAGTGATCCAAGAGGAAGGTTTATATGTATAATAAGAACCATACAGGCATAGCCGCTGGTGACAAGTAAGTAAAATAATAAATCTATAATTAAACCTACTAATATCATAAAGATATAAGATTAGATTGTTTGTTTGCATACAAAAGGTTAATTATTGAACTGGTTTTAAAAAATATTTCACCTACGGGAAGCTCCATCGTACGCGGGTGACAAAAGCAAATAATTTACGAGGGCGAAGTCACGGGAAAACAGCTAGTATTAATCTAGATATATAGGCATGATATATATTGTGAAATAGCAAATATTGTAATAATTTCGTTTCAGTAATAAGGTAACTAATAAACAAATTTTCGTAATTCTCCATAAAACGTCTATAAATATATAAAATCAAAATAACTACAATTTTCGTAAAACCACACTTGCAACTTTTATTTTATAAAACTCACCTTTTTAGGATTACTCGCACAAAAACAATTTGAAAAACATGAACCCATGTTTAAACAATAGTCTTGACTACCAACAAAGCTTGTCTCACATTTATTTTCATTTGCGCGACATACAGATAATCTAGATAACATGTCTTAAAATGTTAAAACATTAATCTGCAATACAATTTCTCTAGAAATCGAAAACTAAACAAGTTCTAACAAGTCCTTTCAGCTGACGGATTGTCCATCCAAACAATTCCAAACTTTTCAGAATAAGTACTCCCGCGCTTTTCTTAATTTTCTATTAGTTAAGGGCAACGGAAACTAGCCGGTACAGCCATTAACAAATAGTACAATAATTATTTTTAACTCCTATTCAATTGTTGTTCAAAAACCTATAACCTATTTCAATACAATTTACACCGACGAACAATCTATGGAGTATTTAAATGTATTTTTGTATTATTGATTATTCAATCAATATAATTATGTAATCCCATACTGACTTCTATGAAAATTATTGTTGAAAATATCGGACAAAATTAGTAAAATGTCAGAAGTCAGTGCGATAGCGCATGGTTAGCGCATTCGATATGCGATGCAGAAGTTAAGTAACTTTCATAAAGGCCGGAGATAGGATGGGTGACTAAAAATTTATTATCTCGAGCACGTCAAGTCGTTGGTCCTGGCTGCATCTGTAGTTACCACCCACCAGTAGGCCCATTCACAAAATTCAATTCGAGTCGATTCCATAGTTCCTTAGTTAGATTAATGAGCAATGGGGTCATTAGTAGGCTGTTGATAATGCATGTTTGTATAATATTTATTTTACTTACTCGAAACATGTCTGGGGAGGCTGTGCCAGCGGACGAACCGCTCGCTCCATCAGCCTGTGCTGCCCGCGGCTGCGGTGCCTGCCCGCTACACTCGGCGGTCAGCGTTTCGCGATCGTCGGCGACATCTCGCACGCGGTCGTCCAAGTCCAAGATACCTCCGGAGCTGGCGCGGAGAGCTCTTACTCCCACCCATGTTTCTGGGCCCTGCAAACAAAGACAATAGAGTTTAGGTTATTAAGCGCGGTGAAAAAATTGGTCAGTACAATCCGCTTAACCTACATTGGAGATTATATGAAATTTTTGAAGATCCGACTTCTTGATAAATCAGATAATTGCATAAAATGAATTTGCTTTTCACGATATCCTATACCTATGTGTTTGAGTTATCTTATTTTATTAAGAGTGAATTAATAAAATGAGAGGTAATCAATCACAGAAAATTTCTGCCAATTTTTTTTCGTAAAAATTGATTTATTGGACCAGGGTAGTAATTACTTAAAGTTATTAAAATTAATATTTATAATGTCGAACTATATGAACGCACATTAAAGATACACACAAAATAAATGTGATATAATTACCTAGTGCCTTATTTTAAGTAAAAAAGGCAGTTTAACTAAGACAATGTCACTTTAATTAAGGCAATGTGCAGTTTGCTTGTTACCTGTTTAGAAGGAAACAGCTTTAGAACCTAACCATGTGCGAAAATATGCTCATTGTTTTTGGTTTACCGATTTCAAAGAGGCTTTTTTTCTTAACAACTACCTGCATGATCAGGAACGTTAAATATTCCCACGCAGTACGAACGTCGCGATTCTATTCACCGGTTAAACTGAATGTGAATTCGCACAATGTTGTCTCAGTGTTGTCATTGTGTGCTCGTCCTCCTTTATTTTGAATGTCATATCACCGCAATTTCGTAGATGTCTAAAGCGCTTGTAAATTGCGAGAGCATCGAATTCTGTATTGTCTTGTTATTAAATTAAGAAGATATTAATTTAAGAGCTCATTACGTTTTTTGAACCTTTTAACAATTAATATACTATTTTGAATAATGGAATTGCTTTAAAATCCACCAGCCCCAGGTACCCCGAGGTAAGATTCGAACTCAGGACCTTTCGCAATCCAGGCGACTGCATAATTTTTAAACATTTTTAATATAAAATATTTATTAGTATAGCAAAAATGCAAAATTAATCAAATATAATAGTATAACTTCTAAACAAAAATAATGCTAAAAGTTCGAAAGGCTTGCACTACATTTCGGCATCCTTTCAAATGGATAACACAATTTTGAACTTATTAGATTTTTGTGCGGTAGACAAAATATATATATATATATTTTAATAACAGAGCTCGTACCCACGTCACACAACGGCGTTCTTTAGCCGCTGCCAGCCGTGCCAGCTTCTTGAACCGAGGCGGTGGCACCGGCCTCTCCGACTGCCCATGTTGCATCATGAGCTTCACCATCGCACATTACCTCTCACATACCGCGAAACTTGGCGTCTCACCAATTATTACGCAAACTCATCGATTTCACACACTTTTTCCAAAGCAGTGAAACGATAGTCTCTTCTAAATTCTCGACTATAACCAATTAATACTACCACAACACTATTCATTTTGAAATTCGAACACTAAACACCAAAAAACATAGCCCTATTTGATGCGTTTCCTGATTTAATAAACATTTAAAAAATATATATTATAAAACTAAAGTTGAGAATAAAAATAAAAAGAGGTCGTTCGTAATGTCACGTGTTATTAACTTCGAAGTTGAGTGCTCAATAGGTTTTACTTTGTGACCGTAATAAGAAGTATTGGTGGCAAAAGGCAAGTTGATTGATGGGCCTTGGCCTTCGCGCACCACTGACTAAACACAGGCTGGCCTGTTCACGTGCTTACCACCAGATGCTGTTCACCATAATTGATGCTATGGTTCATAGAGTAATGTACAATCTTAGATAAGTGATAAAGTTTCAATTTAGAAATTTACTGTTTTATAAAAAATATAGAATTTTAACATTAAGTTACGTAAGTAGGTATAGTTGCGTTTTTGTATTAAGTATTGTATAAAAGCCTGTTAGTTATTAAACTTCAGTTATCTTCATAATTTATAACTTCACATTTATAACTTCACTTAAAAAATCAGCTAATGCATTTTAGCTAACGATTCGTGTAATACGAGTATAGTATGCCTTTCCTAAGGTTATTTTTTTATAAATCTATAGAAACGTTAGTACACACAGTGTGTGTTAATACACGTAACATTACAGTTAGAATGAAGTAAAAACCTATAAGTATAGGTTATGTATATTATAGTTGTACTTGTCTTTCAAACTTATAAGGCAGTTTCAACTACATTCTTAATAATCAAGCATCTATGGAAAATAATTAAAATAAAGAACCTTGTTACATATTTAGTTCAGAATACTTATGCTTATTCATAAACTATTATCTAAGAAGACTGATTTGTCGATACCCTAACGTGGTATAAGCCAACGGAAGTGCAGGCTTTATAAGTCTACTGGCATGTTCTGAATATATTAATTGATCTGCGTCATATTACTTTACATTATCCAAAACTTACAGCGTAAAGAATTTTGATAAATATATAATATTGAAAACAATTTAATAAAGAAAGTATTTTTAAATAATTATCATAAATTAGTTTAATGCGAATGTTTCTTTTCACAAGAAAACGAAGTCATAAAGGAAATTATTCTTAATTTTTTTCTTCAGTGTTTGTAAGCGATGAAGGAGCAAGTGTGTTTTTGAAGACTTATAAGTGCAGATTACTTATGAAACGAGTCAGAAACAAATCTTCTAAGGGTTAAGTTTCACATAATAAAGAAAACACAAAGATTTGGGCCATTTGAATTTCGAATCTTGACTTTTTCTATCACATTCCTTTCCTGCCATTGCTAGAATTATAGCGTAACATGATTTCACGCTTTCATGATCATTTTTTTTTATTATTGCGGAATATCTATACTGTAAAACTTTTTCATCGAAACCTTATTCTGTTAAACGTTTGCATGCAGACTTATTTTATAGGCTTGGCTTCGCAAATAATACGTGACCGTAGTGATTCGCGAAATTGTTATGCAAATTCACAATTTTGCATTCAATATGTTCATCACAATCTAATATGAGCGTTGACGTGAAAGCAAGAATATTATGTAAATAAGATCAATTTTTTATTAATATGTCAATATTTACACCTATTACTATTAGTTAACATATACCCGATAAATAATTCATGAATTATTCCAAAATAAAATGAAGGTAATGTGCGCGAATGAATCCAAATAACAATAATATAATACTAAACACAAACTTAAACAACATAAATCCTTGATGTATAAAAAACAATCACAAAACCACTTTGAAACAACCGCTACCGCGCCTTTTATTAAATCTAGCAGCCAACGAGCGCACATTCGCACACCAGCGCGTCATCAACACAACTGGAGCGATGGCGCTGTAACAATTAGAAAAGATCCCACAACAGAAATAAAATGCAACATGCACATTTTTTTCGACTATTTTCATCGGAATGTGACACGCTATAGTTTTGATCACACGAAGATTTAAATTTGTAGGAGTATCTCTTTTAACATGCAACCTGCATGCTTCTTGTGCTGATAAATCATTGAATTGAAATGTTGAAGTATCCTGTATTCCTAGTGTTAATCCTTTCGAGTATTAATTTTATTTCGCAATGAGAGACATCGTTTTAGTAACGGCAAGACATCGTTCTAGTAACGGCCTTTATTTCGACGTGACAAAAGATGCAAATTTGAATCCTACTTAGGAAAATTTTTGTCAAGACTCACCACCACACCACATTTGTCAATGCTACATAAAATTTAATTTTACTAATTATCTAATAGGAAAAATATAATATAATAGTAACATATTAGCATATAAAGGTTTTGTTTTTGGTTTTGATTACATTAATCTCTATTTTGTATAGTATGGATTGTTTTTTAAAGTATATACCCTCACAGATTTAATACATTTTTTACAAAGGGTATTTGATCGGATATGCATCAGTTTCCAACTTTTATGAGTAAATCCTGATCAGGTACCTATCTTGTCAATTATTTGCGGTTTACACAGTTTAGTTCAGTTCATAAAACAGTTCAGTCGGTTTTCTCACATGTCTTAATACATATTACTTTGTAGCTTCTATTTTACGACCCCTCATCACGCGGCCATTTTGGCTTTAATGTAAACAATGCAATAACTATTGAGTGTTGTCGAGTGCAAAATCTTTTATAGGTGACTCATTTTCTAGATTAAAGTAAGTACACACTTTTGGATATTAAATGCGGTAACCTTCTTGTACGGTTAACAGCTCGCCAGTTTATACAAATCCGTCTTAAAACAAAAATTTAATTGATTTTAAACTTTAATGCTTTGAAGGTGGAGTTTAAAGTCAACTGTAAAAAAATTACATATTGTGATTACCTGGTGTGCAGCCGCGTACATATGGAAACTATTATGATTAGATTTGAATTCAGTGAACTGAGTTTATACAAAGTTATACACATTGAGGCTTTGTTAGCCAGTAGTCTCTTGCAACTTTGCCTTACCTATCTTAAACCAGGGCGAAATTGGTAAAACATCATTACTGGTATTTCTCCTGGTTTTAACGCCTTTATAAGAAATGTAAATAACATGTTCTTAGAGCATTTGTTTTCTCGTAATTATTCAAATATTTAAGTGGCTAATTTCTTACCTATAGTATATCCCAAATAGCTTTATATCTTCTATTAAATACTTATTAAATGAATCTTTTATCAAAGTATGTTTTATCCTGCTTAACAAATCACCAAATCTAGATAGAAGCTTGGAAGAAAAAAAAAGAGTCTTTGTCTTAATCTAAAAGTATTGTTAACTTTTTTAAGGTAGTGCTCACACAAGCTCAAACAAGCCATCGGAGACAAGCGACGAAGGAATAAAGGATAAGACAACATTATGAGAGGGAATTCCAGGCATACTATAAATGCCTGGAACAACTGAAGATTAGTCCATCGTTTTATTAGGGTACCTACGCAAACCTTAATTTCTTAATGAAAACAACAAATTATGCAATCGTTGATTCGACAGATTATCAAATCATAATTACTAATTGAACTCAATTTATGACTAATTAAGGTCAGCGTAGCGGCATTGGATCTTTGGACAAATAT